TCGGAGTTAATTAAACCCCCTTCTGACACCTCCCTAACTCACAGAGGGGCGTTTACGGACGTGCCCCCCTTACCGCAGGTTTTTGAATTCCTTGGGAATAAAAGCTGCCTTGTCGGATGTTTGTGAAAACAACGGGAAAGTGAGTAATCGGGCCTGTGGCTCGGCAAGGGACTTTTCAATCATTCAATCCTTCGACATTTTGACTTGATTCACTCTATAGAGAATAAATGGAATTAAACACAGTCGCTATCGATTCTCGCGCTATTATCATTCGTTAAGTCCACTACGCTGAATTAATATAGGATAGAAAGCTTCTGGCATTCGCCATAGTTTCGATTTTTTCTGTCTAGTCACAATGTTGAGTAACCTTGTTCAAAGGCCAATGTATATAATATGAATATGAAAAGTTTGGCAAAGCAGACTGAGATTAGAGCGACATCTGGCGGGATCAAAAATGAAATTTTATAAATAAATAAATAAACAACCATCCTGCAAATTTATAATAATTTTTGAGCAATCAGAGCAGTCTGAATATTTGTCATTAATCATTAATTATTAATTAATCGTTAGCTTTCTTATTTTTTCAATAATTTACTGCCATTGATGAAGCTTTTCCTATAAACTCAATACTAAGCACTAAAACAGATTAAGGAAACAGTATAAATGTTTCTCAGTAAGTTGTGGGAATTGTTTGAACACGAGGCAAAGTTTCGGTGGAGATACTATGCTTAACGAGCCGTGTTCGAGAGGGCCCATATCAAAGTGCGGTCAATATCATAACCTTGTTTGTTAAAGCCAGACATTTTCTGTTCTGATGCATGTTCAACGTTCCCAACACGAACTATCTCGTCCTGGGCCGTCAGCAGTTAAATTTCACTGTTGCATTCCATAGATTATAGAGGTCTATACAATGTCGTTTTTGCTGTGATGATTTTCATCACAATTCGTTTAAACATATCTCTATTATTATTTTTTATTTGTCATCGCAAAATACTTTAATTGCAGATTTCCGATTTCCCATAGGTTGGCCGATGTCGTCTGCAGAGAGGAATCAAAAGCGCAAATATGTGAGTACATTATTTTTACGGTCACAGGTTCTCTTTCACGTTCGGGTGTATTTTCCCTGAAAATTTGCCTTAATAAGGTACGAGTTATAGACTTTAAGTCCTATGCACCCTTCACAAACGCCTCCGCTTGCATTCCATGTGGGTTGTAGTATATTATATCATGTCTAGTTACTTAACTTCAATGTGCCCACAGCGTTGAAGTACGATTCACTTTATAATATTCCCCCTTTAACCTTAAAAACGATATCTTTGATCCACAATATATACGATACAACTAAGTGACCCCTACACATAGGGAACATGTGACGGTTTTCAATAATTATAAATTCATAAGCCTTTAATAAAAAATAATGAACCCAACGCCACTATCTGTTTTCTTTGTCTTTCTCTTATAATCTCCCTTTAATGCCACTAGAGTTGTGTAGTATTTCTACACCGTTTCAGCAGACTTGGCATTGTTTACTAGTTCAACGGATACGGCCATAAACCGCCGTTTACGCAGAAGCCAAGCTCTATGACATTTGACCTCTTTATATAACGCTTAGGTGGTAAGCTGCCTGGAAACCCGGCACCGCTATGTAGAGAGACCCATCAAACTTGTCTATTTTATTTCCCTAAATTCAATTTCAAATTAAGTGCCTCTGTATGAATTGTATATACAAAATGGTTATTGTAAATTTGGTGATTTCAGTATTTTGGTTTAAAGGTATACGAGTTGAAAACAGCTGTGATTTCTTTAATCTAGAAAACATAACAGTGTAACGTACACTGGGTGAATTGTGCTGAAAGAAACAAGACAACTTCCTTTAGATTTTTCCTCTCTTTGAAAACAAAATCTCTTGCAATGTTTGAAGGATTTGTGCTGTACTGCAAAAACGTCAACATAAAAATGTTATTTATTTTGACGTGAAGAAACATTTCATCAAATGAGAGGTTTCTGGTTAATACGATTGCTGTGAAGGCAATATCTGCAGGTTTCAGCTTAATTTAAGAGAAACCTGGATTATTAACATATCTAATATCGAGATAATTATGACAGGGATTTTCTATATCGCTCTCTCAGTGTCTGGAAGAGTCCTGTAATGCATTGTGATCCTTAGAATTGAAAGTACACCAAAATGAATAAGTAATTAAAACCTTTGGATCCCTATGTTAAATAAGATCATATTTTGGAGTCAAAATAAGTGACTCGCTCTGTCTTAGCTTAAGTCAAAAGCAACAAAATGATATGACTGTGGTGTCAACAGTAACACATAAAATACAAAGAACAGCCTTTTCTCTAACACCAATTAACCATTTGAAAGCATACGAAGGCCTGCTTGAATATCATAAAAAATTCGTTCGCGCCTTTTTTTCTGTTTCCCTGTCGCCAGCAGGGCGTTGAAAGTAGTTTGCACATGTTTTACAAGATAATATAGATATCCATATCATCAACTTAATGAATAACTGAAGGAAATCAAAACTCGACCTGCATTTTACTGGAGTTTATATGGAGATGTTTTGAATACAGGTGTTTTTAACTCAGAATAAATAGTACCGCGATAATATTTTTTCACTTTAAACTATCATTAATGTCAAGTATCATTTCGGTTTCTGTGATCATAAAATACTGACTCTTATCAGCAATCTAAAATTATATCATTTCCAGTCAGAATTCATTTTAAACAATTATTCCCCAAATTACTCAAACCTTCGCTTTTTATTATGCCATGTTATATATTAAAGGAATTGTTCCATTAAAAGACCACCATGCTGCACCTAGAAAAGAACAGACTGCGACCTACCAATCCACACTACATTTCACTTATAGTTCAGACACTAATTCATACTAAAAACTGAACGTCAGACATTAAGAGCTGGAGCGTATACTTAACGCTGGCACTGTATTAAACCAGAGCACAATGGATCGGGATCGTTCGTCTTAATGATCAATCACGCGATTAATGACCCAACACGCTTTAAACTGCAAGTTGCGTCTGGTTAAGGTACGCAATTAGACGAACTAAGGCAGACAAACGCTCTTATTTATAAGATGCTTATAATTGAAACCTACATACGCCCTTACTGCACATGACCTATTTAATAAATGCTATTTTAAAATACAAAAAAAAAAAAAAAAAATGGAATATGTGAAAAGTGGCACGTTACAAATTGGCCCCTTTTTTAAGATTTTATAACCTCAAAACCCAGACTTCTGTTTTGGGATTATTTATAGATAATAATTTTAAACAAAAATTAAAAAGAATAGTACTTAAGATATTCAAAATTCAACATGAGCTTTTTTCATTATCGTAATATATATTATTTTTTATGTAAAAGCTAGTATTTTCCTACTTCGGATTAAGCCATCATAAGATTTTAAAACTTGTTTAGATTTGCTAAGTAATGAAATAATTACTATAGTTTACTCAGTGTTTCATTTGAGTCAATAAGCTGGCAGATAAGAAATGAGGAAGCAAAATAAATAAATAAATAAAATAAGATAAATTAATGATATTGATTTTCTAGCATTCCACCATTTAAATCACACATCTATTAATAACAGGCACATATTAATTAAAATAAATCAACAGTGGTTGTCCTATGCGCCAGTATAACTACCTATTGTCATATATACTTGTTTTCTGTTTGCGATACTTTTGACTGAGCTGGCACTGCTCAACCTTTTCCGAAACAAAATGCGTAGAAAAAAGGCAGAAGTCTTTATTGGAACCAACTTACAGCAACAGTTCCAGTTAACCGGTGTTGATCCCGGTGCAAGTTTTTCTTATCGTATTACTTTACCCGAGCTCGGGGTCAGGTTGTAGCGGGGCTGCCTTTGTTTAACCCGGGAACAGTTTTTTACCCAAACTCTGATAGCGAATCTTGGGGAGGAAAGCTTGCCACTTTTACCTTTGTTTGAATTAAGCCTGGTCTTCGTTACAGCGGCGAGAACAATTTTAGCATGGCGATTTTAATACTTTAAATTCTAGTTCAGAAAGGTTCGTGTAGTTAGATTCGAAAAGCCATTTATTAAAGTCTTCAATTGCAAGAGAGCAAAAGAGAGTCTGATTATTTTGAATTTTGATTAAGTTTGATTGATTTTTATCATCAAAATCCAGCCTTTTATGTGTATATCTGATAACTATTGTTAAAACGAAGTAAATTTAGAAGTGTAAGTGTGCAGTCACCCTGTTTTAAAACTATTATTCCAAAGGGGAAATAACTCTGCTGGTTACCAACAACATTGCATGATAGATTACAAGTAAAAAAAATTACATTTTGTTGAATATAGGCCCTACATAATTTTTAAAAAAAATTCCCAGTAGCAGCAAATATAGAATATAAAGAAGATGTGCATTTTTGACCTTCCTAAAATAATCTTAGTTGATAAGTTCTATTCAAAAGTATAAATTAATCACTGTAAGCACTGTTAATAATTAATGTTGAGTAAGCCTCCTGTCGGTTTTAATATCGTAACCCATTGATTGCATCTCACACAAAGCATCCTTGCTCGAGTTGGTTTTTCTTTGTTTTTGTTTTGAAGTCAAATTAGAACAAGATTATTAAGTGTTTAAGAGAATGAGCAACGTAAAGCCATTAATTTTTATTAGACAGATGAATATATTATTTTATTTTTGTTATATTTTCACAGACGTTTTTGGCATGGGTTACTGGTTTAAAATAATAATAATCCCCTATACATAAGTGACACTCTCCATTGGTGTTATGTATAAAATAAAACCTAACATCTTTTTTTAATCACCTGATGAGCAAGTGTTAGGGAGTATTTTTCTATGAACTTAAAAAGAAAAACTTAGCAATATGTGGCACGAGGTTCACTTAAAATCATCACAGTGGACAAAATTCCAGTCACTTGTGACAATAATTCAGCATCTTTTTTTAAAGAAAAAAATCTTTATTTCAGTGGTACGGTCTCAACTTTCTACTCACCCGTACGGGTAGGCGGCCATCATGGTCGGGTCGTAAGGGTAACACAGAGCAGCGGCAGCGGCTTGCTGATTCATGGTTCTCCATGCCTCTGCTGCGTCCTTTAAGTTCAAGCCGTGGGCAGCCTGCAGAAATGAGAAAAAACAAACCTTGTGCTAGTGAAATCGTGCTGAATGATGAGGCAGCATTTGGTTTTGTATTTTTATCTATTTTGATATTATTTAAAAATGTCTTTGACTACAATGTGGACATGCAATTGAATTGAATTGAATCACACAAACACAGTCCAGAAATATAAACAAAAAAATTAATAATTTCAAATATTAGAAAAGGAAATAAATATATTTTATTATTTCATAGTTGATCTCGAAATTATCAATTTTAAAGAGTTTATTATCTATCCACATCTATCATGACGATCAAAATTCATGGGGGCTGACACTTCGAAATAGACTGTTTTTGAAATTCCACAGCTCAACATTTTTCAATTGTTTGCAATTTAAACGTAGTATTTATGTCATCAAGTATCTTTCCTCTACAGGAAAGAATTACACTCCGAATTGATAATGATATGTTGGAAGACTTAGGTTTATATAGGGTATTCCATTGTAGCAGCGCCTAGATTACTTGGTTAATTCTGTCACGTCACCCTGACGCTGTTGTATCGAATTACTTTTCAAACATGAAATCAACCTATTTAGAATCGTAGATTTTATTTAAATGGGAAGAAATTCCATCTACGTTCATAAAGATCTGAGTAAGCATTTTCTGTTGCCATTCTATTTTCCTGAAGTTAACCTCGCGTTAAATTTCTATATGTAGAAGTGCCACTATCTAACTNTTTAAGATTTTATAACCTCAAAACCCAGACTTCTGTTTTGGGATTATTTATAGATAATAATTTTAAACAAAAATTAAAAAGAATAGTACTTAAGATATTCAAAATTCAACATGAGCTTTTTTCATTATCGTAATATATATTATTTTTTATGTAAAAGCTAGTATTTTCCTACTTCGGATTAAGCCATCATAAGATTTTAAAACTTGTTTAGATTTGCTAAGTAATGAAATAATTACTATAGTTTACTCAGTGTTTCATTTGAGTCAATAAGCTGGCAGATAAGAAATGAGGAAGCAAAATAAATAAATAAATAAAATAAGATAAATTAATGATATTGATTTTCTAGCATTCCACCATTTAAATCACACATCTATTGATAACAGGCACATATTAATTAAAATAAATCAACAGTGGGTGTCCTATGCGCCAGTATAACTACCTATTGTCATATATACTTGTTTTCTGTTTGCGATACTTTTGACTGAGCTGGCACTGCTCAACCTTTTCCGAAACAAAATGCGTAGAAAAAAGGCAGAAGTCTTTATTGGAACCAACTTACAGCAACAGTTCCAGTTAACCGGTGTTGATCCCGGTGCAAGTTTTTCTTATCGTATTACTTTACCCGAGCTCGGGGTCAGGTTGTAGCGGGACTGCCTTTGTTTAACCCGGGAACAGTTTTTTACCCAAACTCTGATAGCGAATCTTGGGGAGGAAAGCTTGCCACTTTTACCTTTGTTTGAATTAAGCCTGGTCTTCGTTACAGCGGCGAGAACAATTTTAGCGTGGCGATTTTAATACTCTTAATTCTAGTTCAGAAACACACGTATAGTTTATGTCGAAAAGCTATTTATAACAGTCTTCAAGGGAGCATAGGGGAGTCTAATCATTTTGAATTTTGATTAATTTTGGTTGATTTTTATCATCAAAATCCAGCCTTTCATGTGTATATCTGAAAACTATTGTTAAAAAGAATTAAATTTAGAAGTGTAAGTGTGCAGTCACCCTGTTTTAAAACTATTATTCCAAAGGGGAAATAACTCTGCTGGTTACCAACAACATTGCATGATAGATTACAAGTATAATATTTTTACATTTTGTTGAATATACATAATTTTTAAAAAAATCCCAGTAGCATCAAATAAAGAATATAAAGAAGATGTGCATTTTTGACCTTCCTAAAATAATCTTAGTTGATAAGTTCTATTCAAAAGCATAAATTAATCACTGTAAGCACTGTTAATAATTAATGTTGAGTAAGCCTCCTGTCGGTTTTAATATCGTAACCCATTGATTGCATCGCACACAAAGCATCCTTGCTCGAGTTAGTTTTTCTTTGTTTTTTGTTTTGATGTCAAAATAGAAAAAGTTTATTAAATGTTTAAGAGAATGAGCATCGTAAAGCCATTAATTTTTATTAGACAGATGAATATAGCCTTATTTTTGTTAAATTTTCACAGACGTTTTTGGCATGGGTTACTGGTTTAAAATAATAACAATCCCTTATACATAAGTGACACTCTCCATTGGTGTTTTGTATAAAATAAAACCTAACATCATAAAATCACCTGATGAGCAAGTGTTAGGGAGCATTTTTCTATTAACTTAAAAAGAAAAACTTAGCAATATGTGGCACGAGGTTCACTTAAAATCATCACAGTGGACAAAATCCCAGTCACTTGTGACAATAATTAAGCATCTTTTTTAAAAGAAAAAATTCTTTATTTCAGTGGTACGGTCTCAACTTTCTACTCACCCGTACGGGTAGGCGGCCATCATGGTCGGGTCGTAAGGGTAACACAGAGCAGCGGCAGCGGCTTGCTGATTCATGGTTCTCCATGCCTCTGCTGCGTCCTTTAAGTTCAAGCCGTGGGCAGCCTGCAGAAATGAGAAAAAACAAACCTTGTGCTAGTGAAATCGTGCTGAATGATGAGGCAGCATTTGGTTTTGTATTTTTATCTATTTTGATATTATTTAAAAATGTCTTTGACTACAATGTGGACATGCAATTGAATTGAATTGAATCACACAAGCACAGTCCAGAAATATATACAAAAAATTTAATAATTTCAAATATTAGAAAAGGAAATAAATATATTTTGTTATTTCATAGTTGATCTCGAAATTATCAATTTTAAAGAGTTTATTATCTATCCACATCTATCATGACGATCAAAATTCATGAGTGCTGACACTTCGAAATAGACTGTTTTTAAAATTCCACAGCTCAACATTTTTCAATTGTTTGCAATTTAAACGTAGTATTTATGTCATCAAGTATCTTTCCTCTACAGGAAAGAATTACACTCCGAATTGATAATGATATGTTGGAAGACTTAGGTTTATATAGGGTATTCCATTGTAGCAGCGCCTAGATTACTTGGTTAATTCTGTCACGTCACCCTGACGCTGCTGTATCGAATTACTTTTCAAACATGAAATCAACCTATTTAGAATCGTAGATTTTATTTAAATGGGAAGAAATTCCATCTACGTTCATAAAGATCTTAGTAAGCATTTTTTGTTGCCATTCTATTTTCCTGAAGTTAACCTCGCGTTAAATTTCTATATGTAGAAGTGCCACTATCTTAGTAACAAATTGTTTGTTTGATTACATGACATCAAAACCTAGCTTACACTGAATAATTTCCCCTGCTTTTGTTTAGCTTTTTATCACCTGTTTTTAAATTGCAATAGTTTTCGAAATTTCAACCGTCCTATTACCTAGTTTTAACACAGTATATTAATCTGACCTTGAAGAAAAATCTACAGTCGCCAAATATTTTCCATGTAAAATTCTTCAGATAGTCCTCAAGCTAACAAATCTGCCTGCCCGATTTAACCTGCAGCCAAATTAATAACAACTTGGTATCTAATGGAAATATTATCGTTAGTTTATAGGTGGTTCGTGGGTTCCAAGTACGAAAAATCTATACCACCAGGCTAACCTGCACTATCAAACAACAAGTAGGATAAAAAAAGCTATAAATATTTCAGTCTGGCTCGTGACGGACCGGGGTGGGCCTGGCGTTGTGACTTAATTCGCTCCACACAGCCCTGCTATGGTCAGTTTAATTTCACTAATAGGGGGATGCCTACAGTACCCAAAGTGTTGGTTAATTCAGTGCAAAATAAGAACATTTAAGACGTCTGACAAATTTTAACTTGTATATAAAGTCCTAGCATTTTTAAAAAATTACTTAGCATAGGCATAGCTTTTCTTTATATTTCAGTTCACTGTTGAATGTGTAGCGCAGGTTATAGCCTAGTTTGGGCTCGGTGGTGTTTATATTTATCTCAAAAAAGCTGTATTTAAAAGAACAACAAACTAAAGAACTATTTATACGTCTCCATTTGTGAGTCTTTAACCTTCAACAGAGATTCAAATAGCAGTACGTTTTAAACTTTCCTAAAATATTTTTTCTGTTTAATTCCAAGCACAAAGCTTTTTTCCTATATATAAATATTTATCAGTAATTAACATTCAGAAATTATAGCAAAATAATATTACTATACGCTGAGCAACAAGACTTATCAGCTTATGAATAGGCGGATAAATTTTGAACAATTTTTTTCCAACATGACTCTTTCTACTGTTTTTTTTAGCAGAGACTGGGTTTTAACTTTTGACCTAGGTAAGACACTTTCCAGACTAAATTCGCATGGTTAATAAACCGCTGGGACATACCTACAGGCATGGACATTATCGGCCAAGATCCCGGCACTGCGGAGGGCCCAGGATCCATTTTTATGTTTCTTTTGTATTCAGTGAAAGTACCGAATAAGTGACATTGTTAGCCCCAAGGGCTTACGCGAGTGCCACACAAAAATAATAGAATAAAATGAGAATATAAAGACTTTTAAAGTGATATATTTTCCCTAACTTTCTTTTCTTTTCCCTCCTATTTTTCTCCATAACTCTTAATCAGTAAACACAGAGTTGTAGGGGAAGACGTCACGAAAAAGCTGTTAAATCTGGAAAGAGGAAATAAATTTTCTTAACTTTCCACGCCGGTGAAAACGGGAGTCGAAGGATGGTGAAAATGAAAAATAGCCAGCTTTCACCCTCATACCAGATCTTTCGGCGCCTGCCTGCCTTGCCGCCATGTTGTAAGCGTGAAGTCCATGTTACGTATAATAGTGAACTGCCATACGAAAAAACATGGACTCTCGTGCGTGCAAGCTTTTACTACTCACAGTTTGAACCTCACAACAGCCTACAAGCCACGAGCTAGCACCTACTATTTACAAGCTTAGCTAGTAAATTCCACTACTTCGTTGGACTTGAATTAATAAGAACAATCTAGTATCCCCATCATAAATCAGTTTTGCCTAGTTAAAAAAAGAAACCTGAATTTTTCAACCCTTCCTTCTCTTGGTCTGAAGTACAGTGCCGTACATATACACTGGCACCAACACTGTGTGTGGGGTTTGCCTTGCCTGATCATTTCACAGAGTTCGTTTTTCCTGTTGTTGTACAAAATACACGAAGGCTTCAGACAACATAATTAAAGAAGCTTGATGGTAGTTGAGATATGGACATTATTCCACCAGCATTTACCCGCGCCCGGATATCAGGTTAATACAGCTAATAAAGTCATCATTCTAAATATCCGCTGGCAAACCGACGGCCATGTTGTTGTTTTAAAAAACGGAGGGAGCGTAGAAAATTTAAAGATATATCGGCGCGCACTTGAACGACACAGTACCCCGCTTGGTTAACACAGCCAAAGCTACCCCTTTACCTAAACGTCCGCCAGCAAAACGACGGCCATGTTGTTGTTTTAAAAAAGGGTACTATTCGGAAAATTGACTATATAAAGATAACGTACCAGTGGCGAGTAAAATGCTGAGGGGTCTGCTAGGGGGTACATTCCCTGTGCTGCGGCGGCGTACGCTGCCGACGTGTACATGGTCTCTGGGGTCAGGCCCGCCACACGGGGGTAAGTGATAAGACTGGGGTTGTACTGGCACGAGCAGATCGTCTGCCCCGTGTGGGGATCAGTCACTATCGGCCGCCCGTTCTGGCAACAAGGGGGTGACGAGGTGTGAGACCCTCCCCCTCCTCCTCCTCCTCCTCCGGTAGAGCCCGGCGTCCCTCCTGCTCCGGTCCCAGGTCCTCCTACCCCAGCTGGCGTAGACGTAGACACCGACGACGTCACAACGGCCGGGTACTGAAGCTGAAGAGGCAAAGAACAACAAGGCCATACCAATGGGATCTTCATGTATTTTTGAAATAAAACACGTTGCAAAAAATAGAACATGACATTAGGAAAACAACCGGGGGGCTTTGACGATGATTTGATGACCGGTAGAGATGCTTGTTGTACACTTCGAACAATACCCCTTTTTTGTTTCAGACACACTGACATTATATTAACTGACTCTATCTCTGCTCAGACAAACAGGACAGGCAATGAAATTAAAACGCAATCTTGGTCGAGCTACTGATAATCAACAATCTTTATCGGTTTGTTCATTACCCATCAAAGGCATCTAAACAGCTATCGCTATAAATATTAAATTCTCTATAATGAAGCTGCGAGGTGAGAGGGAAAGTGGATTAAAGACCCCTGAATGGTAAAATTAACGCGATCTTTTAACTTTTAATACGAGACCTCGCCAGCAAGGTTGCGCGCTAAACTAAGCCTGCTACATTTAGCACATTTCATTGGGATTGTGTGTAATAGTAACAGCGTAGCACGGCGGTCCTCGCCGAGCGCTGACTGCCTGGCTGACCTATTGAAAAGACACCTTAACGGTGCTTGATCAGAGTCGGTGAGATGAAAGTGTTAAGGTTGTCGAGAAAGGGTAGTTACCGTACCTGGGGTGCCGAGAGAGTGCTTGACGCGACGGGCGGTAGAGAGTACCCCAGCGGCGGGTAGGACATAATACTACAGCTCGCCGCCCGTGAACTCCTCGCTCGCCTCTTTTTTCCTTCCCCTTTCTCTCAGTTATTACTCCTTGCCCTTAACGATGATTGCACCACAGAAGGGGTTCGGGATATGGAATCTGCGGAATAAAGTTTTTTCCTTCTAGCGTTTTGCACCGGGGTCGGTCCCAGCCACGCAGGTTAAATCCACAACGCTTGTCTGTTTTGGTGCTCGACCCTCGATAGGGTGCATGTAGAAAAATGAAAGAAACCGGGTGTTTGGCTTGTTCGAGGCCGAGAGGTCAAAAGACACACTGAGATACGAGATCCGGGAAAACAACTCTGAGGCTTTCAGCTGGGATGAGATCCCTCCATCAGAACCTAACCGGCGGGGATACCGCAGTACGAGGAGAAGTTGTAGATTTTAAAAGTAAACGTCTTAATCAGCCGCCGCGTCCAGTACATTAGTCCACTGCTCCCGTAGTATGTCCACTCTTGGTCAGTCCGAGCGAGACCTGTTGTTGTAGTTAAGTTAATGCATTTTTGGAGTGGGCACTATTCGTAGTAACAGCACTCGACCAAAGTTAAGTTAAAGATTGACATCCCTTGACACGAGAGGCTCATTTTAGTGTAATGTCATGACGAACCTCATGCGCAGTTACTGCCCTCTGACATTTCCGTCCGACCCCGTGCTCTGTTTGATAAATTAGAAGCCCAGGTGGGCATGTTCAACGGCTCCTAATTTGCATACTGCTATCTTAATAATTACTCGATTTTTACAATCAGAATGAGAGGGTAGAATGAATGAAACGACATGATTGTTTTGATGTTTCAGAGAAATTCACTCAAATGTTTATAAAAAAGGATTTTACCTATCTAAGAAACATAACTTCTTATCCTTCCAATAATATGCCCTTCTGCACGTACAAGATTGAATGACTGTAAGCCAATAATATCCTTAGTTTATGTTACGCGTTAAAACACAGATTAAGTGATGGGGGTCCGTCATGTATTAACAATTTATCTCCGTGTTTTGATTGGATGAAAGAAATTAGGTGAAACATTATCACTGATGTTGTCAGTCAGAGCAGAAGGTGAAACGAGACTAGTTCCCCGCGACAAAAGGTTCCGAGCCATTTGTCAGTCATTATAATTTACAAGCTCGGCTAAGACAGGACGAACCTATGTCGCCTGATGATGTATATGTCTCGGTTTTTCTATTGCAAACTAAAATTGTTCACAAAAATCGTTTTGTTTTGCTAAGGGACTTGAATGCATTCTTGTTAACCACTCGGGGAAGTTGTTTTCTCAAAATAAAACCTATCAAATTCCCGCATTTTAAAAATGCGATACATTGCTCCACTGTTCTGTCTAGAGTTAACGTCTGTTCGACCGAACAGCCGTCATTTTTCTAACCGACAATTCTTATATCAACCCACTTTCCATTTTTATTTCTTATATTTAGATACAAAAACTTCGCCGGGAAAGGCGTTGAATCAAGTAATATTTCAGTTGAACTACTGCAGGCTACAGGACTTAGGACTGGCAACCCGTTAAGAAGAAAGCCCCTTACGTGAATGGAAGTCATAAAGATCTACCAGCTATTGCCGGACCCGGCGTTCTCAGTTTAATTAACAAAGGTTAATGGAAGAAGAAATGACCAGCGGACGCCACAAGACAGTAGCGGTCATCAGCACGTGAGCATTAATTAAGATCTCCGTGTTAACGACTGCTTGCAAGGTAAATACCATTAAAAATTCAACTGCGAACTTTAAATATACTATATTTTCGTGCTATTGTCGCACTAGTGTCCCATGTGCAAGCTTTAGCTAGGATCACACGGTTTTGCTGGGATAGCATTACAGCAGGGTTCGACATGGAGGACGGCAGGGAATAGATTATGCAATCTTATAGTGCAACTGTCAGGGTAAATTTTGGCGGAATATGAACACACTTCGCGGAGGGTTGTTTAGATGAAGACATTGACATCTGGGTATTTCTTCCCACATGTTTCTATCAGTTATCAGAATTGAACTTGGTGAACTTTCTCAGAACTAAGGTATACTTTTCATTTTTTTGTCAATTTTCAACTTATTGAGTTTGCGGCAGGTAAAATAAGCATGTTCGTTATTTTACTGACATCATTGTCGTTGATGATGTATTTGTTGTATATTCAAGAGAATTACATGTGCATATATTGAGAGAAGGCTAGATTGTGATCAGTGATTATTTTCATACCACTTTTAATAAACAATCGTTCATCTTATTATTTTTACACTTGGTCGTTCCACAATTTTAATATAATCATATTCATAAAAATAATTGAAATTCCTTTCGTTAATAACAAGCTAAGATCAAAGGGGACAGATATACAAAATCTTAACTGACAAATAAATTATTCCAAATAAAATATTTAACCTCTGCGCTGCCTTCTGTCAGCCTTAGTGGCGACATTTGATAGGTACATTAACAACTTCCTCTAAAAACTAAGAGCACACCATAGTGAAGCATTTCTTGTTTAGGAGAATATACGAGCTAAAAATATAATACATGAGAGGTTAATTTAGGTTTGTCAAAGAAAAATTATCGTTTTGAAATTATTAAGCAATTCTACATTTCTATTTTACTTTGTTGTAAACTCATAAATTATTGATATGCTCACCAAGATCTGAAGAGCCGACGGATTTAGGGGGAGATTTTATCATAGTCATTTCTTTGCTGCTATGTTATTTGATTATCCAACCGACCTTGTAGTAATCTTAAGGACCCATCTAAATGCCTGCGGTCCTCTTCTTTACCCCTCCTTTTAATATACCTACCTCTCCTCTCATTTATTTATTTATTTATTTATTTATTTATTTATTTATTTATTTATTTATTTGTTATTTTGTTTGTTTCAAAAAGTATTTATTTATTTATTTATTTATTCAGTTAGTTAGTTAGTTTGTTTGTTTGAAAAAGAATATTTGAACCTTAGTCAGATACTTCAACCAGGCCAGTTGTAATGATAACATTATGAACAATAATAGATTTGAAAAAAAAATGATACCGAAATTATAATATTGAAGACGTATGTGTGAGTTTTATGTTGAATGGTAAATTAGTCCAGTGTAATTAGAAATAATATTACTGTCAAGGTTTCTGAATTCCTGTCACACAGTGGAATCATATTTTATGGACATTGATTTTGCATAGAAATATGGAGCGGTCATAATGCGATGGTAACTTGATATATTATTTATACCTTGCTTTATTTTGCCATGTTCGAAACGTAATGCCACGAATGAACAGAAACAGAAATTTGAAGACCATTAATCCGACGTCATTTATATTTAAAAAGCTACCTTGACGTGACTGTTCATTTTTTCTCTGAAATAATTATCAGGTACAAAGTTCGGGCATGGCGAGATTATACGTCTCCTTGTGTAATTATTTCTATTTGCTAGTTTGTTGACAAAACTAGTCTATTTCTATTCTGTATAATGATATTAATTTTTCTGGTAAATCTGTCATATTGAGACTGGGGCTGGGAACACAAACTGCAACAACAACACTGGCGTGTTCTCTGGACATGAGAAAAAGTGGCCATAACCCCTCCCCCTTCCCCCGACCAGGATTATTCACCGAATTATATTTGTTGATTTTAAAATAATTTATTTTCACTACAGACTTAAATTATATTTAACTATTATGATTTGAAATTGTCATATCATTTAAAAAATCTTTTTTACTATTTGCCACTTTTGTTTGTGCACCATACACGTAACATGAGGCTATCACTCTTTGTAATTTTTTTTTATTTCTTAAATTTATTTATAATCCCTTAGACCTAATCACGCTACTCTGTAGTGATAAGATAAGATATGCCATTTATTTTGGTATTCAGATGAAAAATAGCGCCATCAGATAATATAGTCAAGGCGGATTTTTGTAGTCCTAAACAAATGATGATAAGAAAGAAATATATGATTTACCCTCATGTGCAGCGTAAGTTTTATCCTTCATCAAGGCAATTATCCCATTATTTCTTTTTTCTTCCACTTTACGCCCATAAACAGACAAGAGTTTGCCCGGACCACCCATTCAGCTTCTTTATGTTTATGGGGCAAATTTCTGAGTAAATTACTGGCAATACAATCATTGCTCAAAAAATACATGTCAATCATTGTGCCAGTATCCCCGCCGGTTATATATTAAAATAAATATTTCGTAAAAGTAGAAAACCATACAAACTACTTAAATTAAGGAAGAAGAGGCTAGTAAAAGTTAGTTCCACTGCACGAAGAAGGTGGTTATTACCTGCAACGTCAGATCTATTCCCATTTGGGTGTAAGACAATGGTAGGTTGAATTTTATTATTATTATTATTATTTGTAAACATTTCATGTATTTTATTCAAACCTGGTATTTTGGGCGCTGACGTTCTTAGTGTTATTGGGCCGGTGCTGAGCAATATGTCATTCATATATATAAATAATATCTCGCTTATGAATTTTATAGAGAATTAAAGTTTGATTTCATAATTCTGATAAAAAGACACAGATCAGTTTTAAAAGTTCTCAAACATCGAGTAGATGACTATCATTTGTGTCTCTGACCATCTGGGGAAGGGTGTTCGTGAAACAAGCAGTTCGTCCTTGACGCTCATCGATCACGTATTAGACTCTTAAACAGAATTCACACCGAAAGAATCTCATTTGTTTTCATCTCTCTGTGGAATTGTTCAGATTGCTGAAGCACAGAGCATGGTTTTTGTTCGCGTCGAGTTTATGGCGGACTATAAAAAAATAAAATATTAGACGTCATGACAATGTTGTTTTAACTGTTCGTTTTCAACTATTTCCTTCGGCGTATACAAACCCAAATAATTTTCTTTTGGTAAAAAAGATAAAAAGTGAATGATTGCATAAAAAGAATGTTGTCAAACTTAAAAAACAGGCTAACAAATAATATCATAATATACTCCCTCGCATACTCCCAACTTAAGTCTGATTTTAGTAGGTTATACGGACCACTAAACGCTCTCTTCGAATATATATTTTTTGTATCATTTTTCACCGACAAATCTGCAGAACCGAGAACCTCTCCTTTTGCGCACTACCATACAATGCTGAATAGGAAGGCAACTCGTGTTCTCTTATCGATCACGTTGGTCAGCGATTGGTGGTCAGCTCTTCTGACCATGACCATCCGACCTAAAGGCTGGTTGGCTGGTCAGCTGGTTGGGTTATCTTGGCTAGGTGGGGGTCACGTTTTCTTGACCGGTCAGACTCTGCTAGAACTGGTCATCCTCTCCTTAAATTAACGTCTCTCAAAGCTGTAGCGACACAATTTCTCGCTCCCTTAATTTGATTTTAATGATAGCTCCCTAAATTAACACATCTTCTACCGCAGTAGACATCACTCTGTATGCCGTGGAGTCTTTTTCTCTTTTATTTTGGACTAATTGAATTTTGATCGCTTATCTCTGGCTCTGAGCAGTTATGCATTTTGATGAGTCCGAAGCGTTTTGGTATTGAAATATAGTAATCAGGCATTTTGTTCACGTAACTTGTGTTGGAAGATATGACAAAATTTGACAATTTTAAGAAAATGGTTACTTGTTTACTATTGAATGTATAGGCTTTAATAAGCTTATAATTTCAAACCATTTCGTTTGATTTGTAGTGCAACTTATATTTCATTCGCTGAAATATTGATTACATTATTTTCGTGGTCAAACAGGCTGCTAGATTCTGTGTGTTTATTCATTTTTATTTTGGTATATAAGATATTAGTTAAAAATATCACCTTTATTGCACCGGTGTTACAAACGCTTGTTATCACATTCTACACTGCGAATGTACTGATTTATAAGGGTAAAAATACACAGTTTGGTAATATTTACTGTAGTATTAGGTGCGTTTGATGAATATTACATATAATAAG